GGATAAAACGCGCATAAAAAAACTAAGGGGAAAATGAGAAAAATGATCATCAAATTTTTAGGTATGGTCCTTACGAACCGAATGATACGTGTCTCGATGTTGTAGGATGATATTTGTAGGAGGAAATGTATTTTATAAAGTACGGTACCCCTTTTTAGCCGTTTTCTATGAATTTCACGTTTTCTATGAATTTTTTCGAAAAATTCATAGAAGCAAAATGTTCTTATTTTTACATTTTACGTATGTATGTGAAGTTTCATGATGATCGGATAATAACTAGAAGTTTTTCCGGAGGGTAGTCGGTCACCTTAAAGAGGCTTGTTTATGAGTTAACATCTGTAGATGAAGTCTTATAAATTGCAGGGCTTTATTCATTATATGGTAGTTAGTCTTTTTAGCACATTTTCTCATTTATGGGGAAAATGCACTATTGTGCTGGTCATGTCCGTCTGTCCATCATGTCCGTCTGTCCGTCATGTCCGTCTGTCAGTGATTATTGAGTTATATTATTTTATAGTTTGACTCTCCTTATCTTATTATTCCAGGCTGTCCAACACTCCTCCCTGGCCGCGCCCTTGTTGCTGACCCCCGACCCAGAAACCTGTTTTGAAATCATGGCCACTGCAGAGCTCGCACTGGAGATCATCAACAGAAACGTGAAATGCATTTCATCCTACATCTTCCAGACTGGAGAATTTAACAAGCATTATGCCATTAAATGGTTTTGCGGCCTTGAGGCACGATTTTATTTGACTAAAGTGACTGACTCTTCCACAAAGTTCCTCTTTCTTCTCTGTGCACTACCACAAAAGGTTTTAAATGAAGTTACTTCAGCTTCTTTAGAGTCCGAAGACTATGATAGATTGAAATCTGAACTCATAGCATCATATGCTAAATCCAAACTAGAACAATTTGATCATTTAGTCTTGAAACAAAATAAAATTTGCAGAAAGCCTTCAGTTTTCCAGCAGGACAATAATTGCATAGCTCGTTCACTAGGCTTAGACAAAGAATTTACTAAGGAAAAGTTCAGGGAACTCATGTTTGGCAGAATCCGTTTATCGCTTTTCGGCCAATATGGTGATTTGCTTGATGAAATGGCTGCAATTGCCAATACCTTGTCGTCATCTAGATTACAGGAACCTGATGTTCATCAGACTGCTAACAATAATGGAATACAACAGGGCATTGTTGGGACGAATGATAGTGCTCCTGTTGGCCCTGTCAATTGTACTACCGGCACTGTGTTTGCTACTATTGATCATTCAAGCGAGGCTCTGCCTATAGGTCTTCGTCCGTTTCATGCCGGTCAACTTCCGAAAGTTTGTCGATATCACATTTTTTTTGGCGATAAAGCCAAGTTTTGTAAACCATGGTGCATGATTGCAAATTGGAATTCTTCCGCAAAAATTCTACCTAGTTCACGGCCCTCTTCTCGTTCAAGCTCTCCCTCTTCTCGCTCAAGCTCTCGCCGATATTATTTCAATTTGCCGTCCCGTTAATATTGTTCTCATTTTTCCCATGTGGGTGACTCATTGTGCCACCTGACAACTGTTTACTGGTTATGCTATTCGGCATAGAAGCGCTCTTGTTTGACTAACAGCTACATTAATTTTATCCTATTGCAGTTAAGATAAGATTTGACCTAAGGTAGTAGAATGTAAGAAGCGTTTCATGGAAAAATGACACTCAGAAATCATGTATCAACATATAGGTTACTCGCACATTGAATACTGTAATGTTAGTTCTGTAGTTGTTAGCAAATATAAGATAACTAATGATGAAAATGATTAGACAGATGCTGAATCTTGAAGCTATGAGGATCCATTTTAGTTTCTAATTAAGGATATGTCGTAATATTAAGAGTATAATTACTTAAGTGTAACCGGTAACGTGTCAGAAAATTAAATTTTCATTAGCTGTGCAAATTTCTGTATAACTTTCATTGAGTGTAATTTTTTGAAAGCTCTAAAAATGAAGGCATTGCCGTGAGCCACCAGTCCGAATTCTTCAGTTGCCCCCTGGTGGTGAAACTCAGCCATAGTGTGCAAAAGTTGCACTCGTCCTTAGGACCTATAAGCCAAGTAGGTATAAACCTGCCGTGTTCCGCACTGGACTGACCTAATCGTGTTTTATTTTTCAAGCATAAAACCATCTGGCTTAACCTGTTCTGTACTCTGCTTTTCTTCCTACCTTCCAGATCTAATGACCGACTTTACTTGCTGCCGCCTATCCACCTTATGGTACCCACACAGTGAAAGCAGGTTGCCAGCGTGCTGTTACCTGCTGAGGCTTGCGCCTGAAATTGAAATAAATAGGCCTGGCGCTGGCCTATTCGTACAGGTTTTCGCTGTGAACATTTACATTATTATCCTATGTTCATTCTTGTGGCAGGTTGGAGTAGGTTGCCCGCACGGTCAAACCTGCTTTCGCTGTTTGGGTACCTTAAGCTTGCTCCGCCTTGCCCACCTCACATCCTAAGAGGTTATGTTTGCTTACAGTGGCAAGGCGAGGTAGAGAAGTCAGGGCAGATAAGTTCAAGTCCGAGAAATTGAGCATGACAAAAATGCGGCTGTTGACTTCAGGCGCGATGGCTGTAAGCACTTGACTTTATAGGTTACGATGCCTTTTGCTATGCTTGCCTGCGGAAAAAATACGTTCTTAAGTGGCTGGCTGGCCTCTTGCACGCACCTACCTGAAAATAAGGTCCTGGAAACGCGTGAATATTTTTGAACTTGAATTTGTGTGTTTTGTATTTTTGGCAAAATAAAAAAAAATAGACAAGCTGTGCTTGTGGAGTGTTGAAAAGAATCTCTTGCAGTGTCTCATTATTCCTACTCTCATTATACCTACTCCTGCATAAAGTTAAAGCATTGACCAAGGTGATTGTAAACAATCTGAGAAACTGCGCTGCTTTGGTTACCTTGAAGTCGATAGAAGTTGCTTCATCGATCGGAAGTACGACGGACGAAGATGGCCTAACGTACCCAATGTTCAAATTTGTTTTTTTAACGTAACCTTCGAATAATTGTTACATACCACTACATCATGATTTAAGAGTAATGAATTGATTGTAATTTTACTTTCAAATCTGTTATTAACATCTATAATTAACAGCGCAGTATGTATAATTAGCATCTTATCCAGGATCAGTTTAAATGATATTGAATTTTTAAATGATACTAAAACTGCCTCCAGTTTCCAAGCCCTCAATGGGAATGACGATTTTTATTTCACATGAAGCAATGAAAATTATTTATCAAAGGGCATTGTCGATTCCTAGAATTTCTAAAGATATCTGAAATCTAGGAATACGCATTCATTGTTAATAATAAAATTAGGAGTCAGTTTGTCGTTCAATGAACACCAACAGCCAAGATTTTAGCGAAGCTGGCTGCGTTGTCCGACAGCCATGAATATATTAAATCGTGCGATGCTGTTGCTCTGTCTCTATATTTTTCTCTCGGCTATGAGTGAAATATTCACAAGAAATCGACACGCACTAATAAAATGCACAAAATAATTTGGCCATGGAAAACACATTTTTATTTCTGGCTAAGCCAAACGCAAAGAAAAAATCTTGTAGCCTTGGAAACTATGCAAACGTTTTTATTTCTGGGAATAAAATAATTGTTTTTTTGTAAGTTTGTGCTGAGGAGTTTTTTTCCAATCGAAAGTGTGCTTATAAAAGAGGGGAAAGACTGCGTGAATACTTGAATGAAGTTCGTAGTGATGAGTGAAACACTGGTATAGTTTTGGTAGCAAGTAACGTACGTTTAGTTTATAAAAATTAAAATTAAGTATATTAACGATATTAAGAGTGAAAACAGCAGCACCATGTAAGCATATTTGTTTTCATGCGAGTTGATCATCAAACAAACTGGATAAATCATGGTATTGATTTAAAAATTAAATTAAAAGATACCTGTCCTTTGTATCAAGTTCGGCTGGAGTCTTACCCGCATACCAGGAGTGAAATGATCTGTAGATAATTTAGCTCATATGTTCAAGATGTCACGCGCTAGACTTGAACCATCCATAAAAGAGTAGTGGAATGATCATTAATTTTAGTCTATAACACCTAATAATTCAAAGGGTGAAATGCAATCATTTTGCTAAGTTTTACCTCCACTCAAACTTGCGTAGTTCCGCGACGTGCACTCACAAATAAAAAATTGTAATACCTTTTATTACATATTGAATATTAAAAAAAATTGCCTCAGTTTTGACAGTTGAAATAGCGTGAATTTGCTAGAGAATTCAAACGCAACGCAAAGGCAATGTGAATGATTGCAGATGTCAAATAAGAATTTATTGCGCAGTTGATAGCCTCGTAACTCTACGGACGACTTGACGCCATGTTTCATTTATTCACTCATTGTTAATTAAACGAAAGAAAAGATGAAAAGCTTCGCTCTTGCATATAAAAACGACCATCACTTGCAATGTGAAGGCAGGATGTCTCGTGCATATAACGGGAGTTATTCGGAAAGTTATGAAATGTTATAATACAGTGGGGGGAAATAAATATTCGTACACTTGAAAAATCGTATTTTAATGTATGTAAGTACACAAACTTAACAGGAAAAGTGATTTAAATACATTAATTTTTGTTGCATTGAGATTTAATTTCTATTGATGCTATTTTTGAATACAATGCGCCTCTATACATAATATAAATCACTTCTCCTGTTCAGTTTGTGTACTTACATACATTAAAATACGATTTTTCAAGTGTACGAATATTTATTTCCCCCCACTGTATATCTTATGTATAGTATATGATGAATATATGGATGAGGATCACTGAAAAATTCGTAATTACTCGTATTACACAAAATTGTTGAATTTTTGGATAGTGTATACTACCGAATTTTATTTCAATTTCTTTCAATAATATTTCAGTAGCACTTGGACCAACAAAATGAATTATTGTTGTTTTGAATCATTTCCGAAATATGGCAAACTCGTGACTTTTAGAATTAATTTAGCGTTGGCGCTATGATTACCACATTATTTAGATCAAGATGTCTCGGATCAAGAACGAGTCTCGCTGCTGTGTATGAATTAAAGAGCGATGGTGTAAGCCGAAGCCTCGGTTAAATTACAAGTTGCACTATTTTTCTTCTCTCCATTGAAATCGTTAGTTTTCACGTAAGAATTGGCTGTGAAAATTTGTTTGGGCTTTATTTTCATTTAATTTTTATTTATTTTAATTTGGTTTGGGCTTTAATTTAATTTTGTTTGGGCTGCCTCTGCTCGAATTTGTAAATACATATCCTTGACTTGAAGAATATATCGTTGCCATAAAAAATTCATCCGTGACATGAAAAAATGTATCCTTGACTATAAAAATATATTTATTTGATCAGAAAAAACTTCGTTCCAGTTTCGTCCATAATCCAGATATAATGTGCAGAGAATTTGTACCTAATCGTGATTTCAGCCAACACCATAAAAACTCATCAACTTTTGGCTCATTGGTGTTGACTGAAATCAACTTTTGGCAAGGCATGAGTCAATAACTCGATAAGGGGTCATAAATACGCATAACTAGAAACTGCTGCCTTAAGGCGGCAAATAAAAAAAGCAAACAATATGAAGTGTAATTTGTAATTCAAAAAGATCGTCATAGTTTTGAAAAGCTTATTGAGACAAATCTAATGATGTATAACACAAGACTTCACCATGGGCGCTTTACCCCGTGACACGCATGGGCCCGTTGCCAAGCTAGGTATCCTTTCAATTTATATTGTGTCAACATTTCATTTTAAAATCTAAGAGTCTAAACTTCATTTCAAAATTATCCCTATAAATATTACTTTCAAAATATAATTCACAGTAATTTCAAAAGCTTCATCTAAAGTAATCGAAAACAGTTTTATTTAGCAGCAAAAATTTTTATCTCGGCTAAAACAATTATTCACAAATAACTTAATAACGCAAACACTTAGCAAAACGTAAATCCGTACACTTAATCCCAGTGAAACTGTCGACCAATATCTGGTCCACGATGGATTGATGTGATGCAGCAAAATTAGATTCATTCATGACTTTATAAAGCTTAGTTTTAATGTTCATAATCTGTCTCCCGCCTCATCTAAAGATTCTCGTTGTAGTACTACCAATTTACAATGTATGAATTGTTTTTTGAAGGCCGAATTAATAAAGTTTTTAAGTTATAAATGTCATTGTAAGTTAGGGTAAAAGGGTTGAGAAGGTTAGAAATGTGGTTTCAAGCGAATCGGTGTTTGTGAAAGACTCGATTTTTCCACGATCGTGACACCGAGTTTGTTTACACTGAACATTGGCGAACTTTTTAATTGGCGAACATTGGCGAACTTTTCAATTGGCGAACATTGGCGAACTAGGAAAATTCCATGAATCGCGAAACTCGGTCTCTTCTTCGAGGGATAGGCATATTCGTCTGCTGTGGCTACGTATAAAAAGAGATGGAGTTCACGTCGAAGAGGTTCTTGGACCAACGGACGAACACGGACCAATATCTGCCATATACTTAATTAGCGGGAAACCCGCTATGGGCCCGTGACCCGCAGTGGTCCCTTTGTCCCATGTTACCCTAACTTTTTAAATTCAATTCAAAAGTTCTCCCTAACCTAAAAATGTATTCACTTTAAAGCGGAAAAAATTCTGTTATAATTTCAAAAGTATCAGTTCAGCCATTCCTAAAATAGAATTCGTATTGATAACTATTTAAATTCAATACTAAAGTTCTCTCAGACCTATAAATTTATTCACTTTAAAGTGGCAAAAAGTTCGTTATAATTTCACGAGTAGCAGTTTAGACGTTTATAAAATACAATTGGTATTCAAAAATTTTAAAATTCAACTTGAAAGTTTCCCAAACCTAGGAAATTATTCGTTCTAGAGCGTCAAAAAATCTGTTATAATTTCAAGAGTATCAGTTTAGCTGTTTCTAAAATAGTATTAGTATTCATAATTCTTTAAATTCATCTCGAGAGTTCTCCCTAACCAAGAAATTTATTCATTTTAAAGCGGCAATAAGCCAGTTATAATTTCACGAGTATTAGTTCAGCCATGAAAAATGAAAGCCACTTAAGAGCTTAAATGTTCTAAATGTCATTTATTTTTGTTATTCGTTACAGAAGTAAGAATTGA